GCGTTGCCCGCATGCACTCGCCCGCGGAGTGGCAAAGAGGGGGGTGATGACTAGGGGGGGGTGGATCTCATGGCGGGGGCCACGATATTTCCCCAGATCTCATGGCGCCCCTTCTTGTTTCATTACGTCCCTGGCCCCCCCGCTGGGCCGCGCACCTGCCGCCGGTCATGATTTGCACCCCCCCCTCTTGGATACCTTTCTCTTGGCCGCTCCCGAGAGCCGCTCCCGGCCCCCCGCCCCACGGAGCGACACGCCACCCGATCGTCGAAGGGAGTCAAGCAGTGGCGAAGCGTCCTGGCTCGCCTTTGGGCCTCCCAAGCAATGTTCAAAGAACCCTCTGTGGTTTCCACGAGATGTTCTTGGAACATGTCTGGCTGAGCCTGTCTCGTGTTAACACATCGGGCTCATGTTCTAAGAATATTGTTTTTGTCATTCGAACATGTCTAGGCCTATAGAAATTCCGGGACGGTCGGTCCCTGCTCAAGTGAAGTGAAGCCGTCCATGAGCAACACTCGTCGCAAGTACATGTCGACGCTGTTGCAAGTCTGCTTGGATTTGCACAGGTCCAGGAGGGGAAAAAACACACAGACACAATTAATCGCCGATTCCCAAGAAAGTATAGGAAAATATGGGAAGTGGGGGGGAAGACAAAAACCGAGAAAATATAGGAAAATATGGGGAATCATTTATTTGTGTGTATTTATTTGTGTGTCCTGGGGCCCCTTCACAGGTTGGGAGGCGCCGAGTGCGGCGCGAAGGCCACGCTCGGCACTCCCGTTGGCCCTCCGCGCGGAGGCATTTCACGGCCAGGCGGTCCTCCCCCGTTCCCGGGGCCCCGCGTGTTGCCGGGGTCGCCGCCGCGACGCGCCCGGCAGAAGTTCCCGACCGTGCCTCGAAGAAAAATAAAAATCACGCCACGAGCAGAAGCTTCTGTCAGGAGGGGAAAAAACATACAGACACAATTAATCGTCCACTCCCAGGAAAAGATGGGAAATTATAGGAAGTGGGGGGAAAGACAAAAACCCAGAACATGTGGGAAAATATGGGGAATCTTTTTATTTGTGTGTATTTATTTGTGTGTCCTGGGGCCCCTTCATTTTGGCGCTCCGCGCGGATTTCGTGGGTCCCCGCTGGGCCCTCCCGGCGGCGCCTCCAGCGCCGCCCCTGGCGCGCGTGGAGCGCGCAGGGGAGGGGGGCCCGGCGCAGATCCAGGACACCCGCGCGGAGCGGCCAAGGTTTATGCTCGTGGCGTTTGTTCTTCTAGCGTCGTGGTCTTATGATGTTCCAGCCTACTTGTGCTTTGACTGCCAGAAGGCATTTCGACCACCAGGGAAGTATCGACGCTGGGCGACTTTCACGTATCGGGCACCTGGGAGGCGGGGCTCCTTCCGCACCTCGCCGGCGTGTCGGGCAGACACTGTGTCTCGATGCTTTCCTTCCAGGGTGCTCGAGGTTGTTCGTGGGATGCGGTCCTTCAGTACGATGGGAACAACATTACACCAGAGAAAAACCCCAATCAGTGGATAGTCTGATCGATAAGGAGATCGACCGGGAATCCGGGAACCCGGAACCCACCGAAATCGGCCGGGAACCAATAAACAGGAACCCGGGAACCCGGAACTGGGATCCCTGGAACCCAGCGGGCTACCAAAATCGGCGGGAAACTTTCGTCAAATCTTTTTATTTCCGCTAGGTCCCCCTCAGTGCAAGCGCTGATCGGGGAATCATCGTGGTCGGGACCAGGGGGGGAATGAGAAGGGGCGGCCTTCTCAGAAGTCTTAGAAGTCCCGCAGCCTTCTGAGAAGTTTTCTAAGCCTTCCCTGACGACGCAGAAAGCTCTCAGAAGGCGCGAGGGCTTCTGAGAAATCCCGCTGCTTTCTGAGAAGGCTTTCTCCTTCTCACTTCCATCCCCCTCTCGCCGCCGAGATGTGGTCTTGCAGTGCGATGGGAAGGAACAACATAAGCATGGTCGGGGACATGAGATCTCCCCGGCTTCATGCCCCCCGCGTCTTCCTGCAGCACGCCCCCCCTGCTCGGGCCATGGTGCGCTGACCCCCTCCGCCCCCTTCCTGGCCCCACCCCTTCTTCGGCGCACCCGCACTGCACGCTGGTCGTCGAAAGTAGGTATTCCTGGATTCCCGGTTCTCAATCTACTTCGAGCGCCTTCCTGCTTCAATCATCGATTTGCTTTTGCTGTGTGTTGGTCATTCTCTGGGAGGGCCTGAACCCGGCCTACTTTACCCGCCTTCCTACTCCATGCTTTTGCCTGCTTTCTCTCGACCGGCGTGCAACTAGGGGAGCTGCCGGCTCCTCCTGAGGTTTGAGGCTCGAGGCTGGATCATCGAGGCGTTTTTTTGGCTGTTTGTTTCGTGTTCTCGGAGG